AATTGACCTTTCTAGATTCATCTTTTAGAATCCCCGGGTGGTGCAAATGGTTAATGCACTTGGCTGCTAACTAAGAAGTTGGAGGCTCACATCCACCCAGAGGTGCCTCAAAAGAAAGACCTGGTGATCTGCCTTCAAAAGGTCACAATCTTGAAAATCCCACGAGCACAGTTCGACTCCGCACACATGGGGTTGCTGTGGTTGGAATCAATTGGATGGCAACTGCTTTATTTTTAGATTCATCTTTGGTCACCATCTTTATGCTCTGGTCCCAAAGGATCTCTCTTTGTTCTGTGAACAGGTGACACTTTTCCACATTTGCAAGCCTCTGTCCAGGCATCTCCACCTTCTGACTTGGTAGACGCCTGTATTCGTTTCCTAGGGCTGCTGTAACAAAGCACCACAAACTGGGTGGCTTAAAACAACCAAAATTTATTATCACAGTTCTGGAGGCCCAAAGTCTGAATTAAGTGTGTTGACAGGGCCATGCTCTCTCTGAAAGCTCTAGGAATAGATCTTCCCTTGTCTCACCAGTTTCTGGTGACCCCAGGCATTCCTTAGCTTGTGGCAGCTTAACTCCAATCTCTGCCTCTGTCTTCACAAGGCTGTCTCCTTCTGCATCTGGTCTGTGTCTCTTCTCTTTTAATAACAACACCAGTCATACTGGACTGTGGTCCACCCTCCTCCAGTATAACCTCATGTTAACTGATAACATCTTCAAAGACCCTATTTCCAAATAAGGTCACATTCACAGGTACTGTTTGTTAGGCTTCAACATCTCTTTTGAGGGGATAAAATTTAACCTCAAACAACTCCTAAGCATCCTTCTTGGCACACATACCTCAGATGTTACCTCCTTTGCACATTCTTACCCAGCTCCCCTGGATACATAGGAGGCTCTCGTGAGCTTGATTCAGAAGCAACACAAAATCATTTGGGCTTAATTTATGAGATAAAGGTGTAAGATCACTATACAGCCTATTTCCTCCCCAAAGAAACTACAGATTAGTATAGACTGCTGAGATTGTATCCATGAAAATAAATTTTGAAAGATTCCTTACCTACTTATTTTCTACTTTACTTGGCTTTAGAAGAAAAATAACTTTTTTTATTTAACAGAAATATAAATGGAAATGGGTTCTTTCTGGAAGGCACTGCATCTTTAAGGGAAATGTCAGGAAAGAATGAATCTAAGTTTATACACAATGTTAGCAAGATGTGAAGATTTAACCTTTTTTTAAAATCAGATGATGCTAATTTTATGAATTTCCATAAGTATATGTAAAAGCAAAGGAAAAAACTATGAGGCTGAAAACTGGTAACTTCTGAAATCAGAGAAAATCCCATAAAGGTCATTGGCATCTAACTTAAAGCATTTTTTTTTTTTAGAAAAGAGCTAATTTTCACTTACTCTCAATTACACTAGATATTAATTATGAAGAGTTTTATAACATTTTAAACACTGTTAGATAATTTAGCCTAGTGGCTTTCATATTTTTGACCATAATCTACAGTTAGACATTCATTTACAGTGTGTCTAGTACACACATAAATATATATATGTATGTGTATTTAAAAATAAATAATAGAAACAGAAATTTCATAAGATAATACATACACTTATGTGTGAGGAAAACTGATATTTTCTCTTCTATTTTATCTCCTAATTGAGACCTACTTAACTGAATTCCTGATCCTCCAATGGATTGCAAGCTGCAGTTTGAAAACCATTTATCTAGACGAATCTGGTAACCAATGTAGGAATCCATTCTGAAGTCTTCCTGACAGCAGGCCATAAGCCTCTGCTTGTACACATTCCATTATGTTTCTGCTTCACTAGGAGCTTCTATTTTGGAAGAACTTCCATTAGAAATTGAAAATGGAGCTGAAACTGTTATTAGTTGCCTACAAGTCAGCTCCCACTCATGGTGACTCTATGTACAACAGAATGAAATGTTGCCCTGTCCTGTGCCATCTTCAAGGTAGTTGGTATGCTCAAGTTCATTGTTATGGCCACTGTGTGTTTTGAGTGCCTTCCAACCCAGGGGGCTCATCATCCAGTACTATATCAGACAATATTCTATTGTAATCCATAGAGTTTTTATTGGCTAATTTTCAGAAGGAGATCACTGGGTCTTTCTTCCTAGTCTGTCTTAGTCTTAGAAGCGCTGCTGAAACCTGCCCACCGTGGGTGACCCTACTGGCGTTTGAAATACTGGTGGTATAGCTTCCAGCATTACAGCAACAATCAAGCCACCATAGTACAACAAACTGACAGACGATGATAGTGACAAATACATACACTTGTGTGACTTCCCTAGCAAGACATAAAATGTTTTCATCACCCCACAAAGTTTCTTCATACCTCTTCTCAGTCAATATCCCCATCCCCACTACCCACTAGTGACAATCATTGATCTGATTTCCACCATCATAGAATAATCTTGTAAGACCATCCTTTTACTAGATCTTTTGTCCACTACTCAACCCTACATTCCCTAGGCTGGAAGATACTCTAATTTGTCGAGGTCCTTCTTAAAACTGATTATTTGCAATTTGATATATTAACCCAGATGTAGTTGAAATAATCAAGGAAAAGAATACTATCCTAAAATTTAGAGCAACCTCATATATAACTCTTGACTTAATGGAGTTTGAGGTCAACTAAAATTCTCAGGTCTGAAAAAATAAGAATTATTATAAAACTAATTATTGCTCTGTTAGTATTTGTAATATTTTAACTTTGTACCAAAGTTCACAATTTTAAGCTTGTCGAAATTAGTTTTGTTGGCTGTGCTCATTGGTTTAAAGTATTGAGAGCTAATTTTAAATTTTGTAATTGAACACGTTAACTATTCCTTTCTACTTTGTGTCATCTGCCAATTTGAAAATCACACCTTTTATGTATTCATCAAAATCTTGATGGAAATCTAGAACAGGACACGATGAAGGAAAAGAGTCCTAGGATACTTACCTACTCTATTATCCCGTGCGTTGCTGGTTAACCTAACATTGGGAGTGATTTTATCTACCATTCTATTACCCAGCTTCTGCTTCTTTATCTTATTCCCAAGGACACTGATGGTGTATTTTCAAGGCATATATTTCTGCTTGCATTATAACTTCTTCTTTTTTTTTCTTTACACTTAAATTGTAGGAGATCATATTCAGTCCCATGGGTTAAAATTCATCAAAATGCTAATACAAATTTATATCTCTAGCTTGGACCTCTCCTCTGAACTCATATTTATAAATCAAACTGCCTACATGACATTTCCACGTGGCAGTCTAACATTTACCTCCAACTAACACATCCAAAAACAAAGATTTGTTTCCTACCCCCATCAATATGCATTTACTCTAAAATTTCCCATCTTGCAAATGTTATCTTTGTTCCTCTTGTTGCACAGGCCTAATTTCTTGAGTTATCCTTGACTCCTTTTTTTCTCCTATTTACACAACTAAACAGCAAAAACTGTGGGCTCTTCCTTTGAATACATCCAACATTTGGTTACTTCTCAACATTTCTATTGCCACTATCCTAGGTCCAGTCACCATCCTCTCCTCCCCAGGCTGTTAGGATAACTCTGATTTGGCCTCACACTGGCTTCCTAAGGTCTATTCTCCATGTAGCAGGAAGGATCCTTTTCAAACTGATTTCTGCTTTGTTACCTTCTGCTCAAGATCCTCAGTGGCTTTATGTCTCAGAGTACAGCCATAGCCTCCAAGGCCCTACATTAAATTGCCCCCTCCCCTCAGCCACCGTTTTCTGACTACTCTTGCCTTCCCTCACTCTGTCTCTTCTCCAGGCACTCTGGCCTCTTTGCAGTGTGTTCCCCAGCTCAAGGCTTCAGCTGGTCCATCCTCCTGGAATACTCCCTCCTGCCTCCTGTCTGCATGGCTCACTCTTTCATTTCTGTGAGTCTTCTGCTCAAATGCATTACATCATAGTGGCATTTCATGATCAGTACCACCCCCCATTCCTCTGTTGTTTTCAGTTGCCATTGAGTCACTTCCAACTCACGGCAACCCCATGTGTTACAGAGTAGAACTGCTCCATAGGGCTTTCTTGGCTATAATCTTAACAGAAGCAGATCACCAGGCCTTTCTTCTTTGATACTGCTGGGTGGGTCCAAACTGCCAACTTTTAGGTTAGCAGTTGAACCCAAACTGTTTATGCTACCTAGGGACCTCTCATTTCTCCTTATTACCTGCTTGATTTTGTTCATGACCCTATCACCTTTGCACATGTTATATATTTATTTTTTCTTCCCCTCTTCTGGAATTTAAGTTCCATGTTCCCAACTGTTGTATTTCCAGTGGCTAAAATGATGCATAGAACATAGTAGGAACTTAATAAATATTTGTTGAATGGATTGATTGAATAGATGAATCAGTGAATGCCATGCACAGAATTAAGTTTTAGGTGAGAAAATTTACATGTAACATAATGCATAAAGAAGATGCTAGTAAAATTAAAAACATTTAAGAGTTTAAAAAATTAATGCATTTTTTTCCTGAAAATAAAAAGCTTCTAAATTTAAATTTGGCTATCTTAGAAGTTTAAATCCAAGGCATTTTTAACAGGAAACATGATTAGGCACGATTCTGTGATTGTCAGGCCAATCCAGAGCTAATCTGGGCCTGATTTGGCATGTGTCGCCAAGGCACACTCATAAACGGGAGATGACGCGCATACTAACAAAGATGTAGAGCTGTAGAGTTTAATTATATTTAAATTAATGCTAGAAGAGTCTGAAGAACTCTTCTTCTTTGACACCAATTAGGGGAGAGAGGCTTCTAAAGAATAAGTCGTCTGCTGAAGAGAGACTTGTAATTTATTTAACTCCTTAATTCCACATAAATTCTCCAGGTTATTTTAACTCTGTTAAAACATCATGCAAAAAAAAAAAAAATCATAAATGCTGCATAAAGGAAGAGCTTAGATTCTACAGAGAAACTGATACATTTGTCTTTCTATTACTTGTAGAGGCACTTGCCTTGAACAAGTCGACTTTGCTGATGATGCTGAAGTTCATATCAATGGCGAGGGCTAACTGCATTGTAGAGGGCAGGTTCTCAAGCAGATCGGACTCATCTTCAAAAAGATAAACACATCAGGCCACAAAGCAGAATGGTTAATGAAATAAGTCACTACAGTACAAGCAGAAAAATTTTCAAAGTAACAGAAGCAAAACACCAACAATTTTTATAAACAGAAGATGCATCTAATGCTGTATTTCCATTACTTCAATTGAACATACACACCTAATCACAATAGTGCAAATACGTTCTGAAAGAAAAGACTTATTTTAGTAATTGATGAAAAACAAAAAAACAAAAAAAACCCTTGTTGCCGTCAAGTCAATTCCGACTCATAGCGACCCTATAGGACAGAATAGAACTGCCCCATAGGGTTTCCAAGGAGCAGCTGGTAGATTTGAACTGCTGACTTTTGGTTAGCAGCTGGGCTCTTAACCACTGCACCACCAGTGCCCCATTGATGACATGTTTATTTAATAATTCTAGAACACTATTTTTTTGCTAAAATTTAGATACAATGCTTAATGATCATGGGACAAAGGCCAGTGAATAAGCTGGGACAGGAAAAAGATCGAGGTTTTGTCTTCTGCTTCTACTGATTCCAGCCATAACATCTGACGGGTGGCAAATAATAACAATGAGAGCCATGTGGCATTTGAAAGCTTGCATATCCATTATCTTATTTGACCCTCATGACAACTCTAAGGGTAGGTGTTATCATTCCCATTTTGCAGAAAGAAGATAAACAGAACTGAAGCTCAGACAGGCTGTAAGTGATTGTGCATAGTTAGTAGGTAGCTCAGCAGGGAATGGAATCCAAAGAAGAAATGTGCTAGGTGACTAAATTCAAATTATTGTTATTTACTTTCTTATTAACTCAGTGATCAATATGAATACTTTAAAGATTTTTCTACACGTGAATTCAAATTAAAGAATAGGCCTGCAGGCTAATAAAGTATTCCATAAGCAAAACTGCCCATTGATAGTATCTAATATGCCTAGGGCTTCTGAGAGTTGATTATTTTTGATATTTGTCTTATATTCAGAAAAAAGAAAAAAATTGTTATATCATACCCTTATTTTGATTTCAGTATTGATTTTAAAGATGAAAATCTCTGTAAAATAACATAGTTCCTTGTTTCTGAGGACTGTTGGTCTTTAGATACCTCCTCAAACCAAGGAGTTGGAGCAATATCTACTGCTGCTCAAGGGAGAGAGGGAAGGAGCCTGCCATCACTCTTTTTGGTGCTTTTCCTCCCCATTGAAATACCCTCAGGAATAGCTTTAGGAGCTCAAGAGAGAAGCATGAGGTTTTGGTCATTCTGGATTCAGGAGGCACAGTGGTTAAGAGCTCAGCTGCTAACCAAAATGTTGGCAGTTCGAATCCATGAGTTGCTCCTTGGAAACCCTATGGGGCAGTTCTACTATGTCCTATAGGGTCACTATGAGTCGGAATCACTCCACAGCGCACAACAACAACAACGAATAATAACCAAAACCAAACCCATTGCTGTGGAGTCAGTTCCTACTCACAGCGACCCTATAGGACAGAGTAGAACTGCCCCATATGGTTTTCAAGCCTGTACATCTTTACAGAAGCAGACTGCCACATCTTTCTTCTGTGGAACAGCTGGTGGGTTTGAACCACTCAACTTTTGGTTAGCAGCTGTGTGCTTAACCACCTCACACCAGGACTCCTTCTTCGACAAATAATAACCAATCAAAGCAAATCTGTTGCCACCGTGTTGTTTCCAATGCATAGCGACCTTATAAGATAGAGTAGAACTGCACCATAGGGTTTCCAAGGACAGCTTCAGTGGATTCGAACTGCTGACCTTTTGGTTAGCAGCCCAGCTCTTAACCACTGCACCAGCAGGGCTCCCCAGTTCAAGTAACAGACACCACTAATTCTCTAGGGTCTCTTAGAAGCAATTGAGCTTCCTGCAGCAGGATGGGAGTGGCCGGAAGGACTGCTGTTCTGAGTACTGTGCTCCGGAAGGGAGTGTGATGTTCCAGAAAGAGCAAGGGTTTTGGAGAACAGACGCAGGAGGTTTGAGTTGCAGTTCCATTTGCAGGATGTGTGCCCTTGGCCAAATTTCTTAGTTAAGAACCTCCATTTCCTTGTGACTACAAAGAGGTTGATGACACTTAATTTGCCTGATTATTCTCCTCCTCCTCCATTTTTCTTCATGAAGATTATATGAAATTACATATGTAATACCTAGCATCTAGTAGGCAGTGGATACAATTTAGCCTTCACCTAGTTTGCATAACTAGCATAAGATAGCTGAATATTTAAAAAAAGAATCCCATAGTATTAAATTTATGATTTTAAAGATCATCTAATTATTTTTCTTTTGGTTCAAATCCAACCAGTTTCTGCTTCTAGCAGACAAAAATTTTATTACGTTACATGTATATGCTATGCCTACCTAGCATTCTTTGAGAGTCCCATGTATATTCATACCACGTCCGAACCCGATTCTGCACTTTTTTGGGAATGGAGTAAGTGTTCATATAGGCAGTGGTGTGATCCATGCAGCCGCGGAAGTGGTTCTGATTGGCTGTGGCTGCCCCAATTACGTCTCGCATCTAAAACCACAAAAATGGTCACTCCACACCCAGCAGAGAAATGGGAAAAGTTATTAAAAATTCAGTTGAATTTAACTGTTCTCACATGATCAATTCTCTTCTAATGCACTGACTCTTTGGTTTTAAATACATTGATGTTGGGTTCTAATTTTATCCTTGCCATGAAACATTGGGAAAATCAATACCCTCTCTCTGTCCCAATAAGGATGACAATAAGACCTGTTTTACCTACCATGTGAAGTTTTTGTGAGGATTCAGTCACATAATGCGTATGAGTTTTCTTTGTAAACTAGTATATTATTGCAAAAATGTTAGTTCACATTTAAAAAATTATACAGCTTGTGCTTATGCAAGGAATGTGCAATGAAAGTTGAGCAATTACCTGGCAGAATGGCTAGTCCCTTTCATTGAGTCTCGCTTTGAAAGCATCCTTCATAGATTATCCAGTGTGGCTGACTATATAGACTCAATTCATCATGAAATTGCAACCTCTGTACTTTCCTTTGTGTTGTTTAGACAGATAAAATCAAATCTCATTGTGCTTAAGGCATAGTATTCAGTAGAAGTTGAAATGTGCTGAAATTACTGAAGCATCATCTACTGCTGTGACAATACTTAAGGAACTGTCAGGTTTTAGTTCTTGGATGTTTATAACTCAGCCATAAAAACCCACTCTAGGTTAAAAGCTGATCTTTAAGGTCTCAGCACAAAAAAGATATATAGCTAAACTCTTCCTCTCACATAGAGGGAAGCAAGTGGTTGTAAATTTGCCTTGACTGTGGGTTTATAATAGGGAGAAAAACCAAGGCTTCACTCTTGAGACTTTGCTCATTCATTCTAGTAGCTGAGTCCTTTGTGCTTACAGAAAAACTACTCATTCTTTGAGGTCCAGCTCAAATGGCTCCTTTATTGTGATGTATTCCTTAGCTTCCACTTTCAGAGGCAATGGCCTCTTCCAATCATTGAAAGTATCTGCTGAGAAGGAGCTATGGAAATAGTCAAACTGGATGCATCTTTTTGAGTCTCTAACTTACTCCTCAGTGACTATTTCAAATATTCCTCAACAACCTCAATTCCCAAATCTCACTTTTCCAAGCAAGTCACTTAAAGCTGGGAGACTGGAGTGTTAAGTTTGAAACCAAGGACAATTAAAAGCGTTATTGATTCGTGCTGGGCCCAAGAATGTGTAGTGTCAGTAATCTGAATGTTTATGAGTTTGCATTCAATAATGTTGGGTTGTCTTGATGTATTCAATATTCCCACATACAACCACACCAATGACTATACCCTTGAACCTAATCATCATATTTTAACTGTAAGATTCTCTTCTCTGAGAGAGACACGTTTTCTTCTTCTCACATTCTCACTTACTTCCCTAGCCTGGAACACATCATGGAACATCAATCTGTAGTAATTATCAAATGTGGTGAAAAACAGGTGAAATTGTGCACTACAGATTCATAAGTAAGCACAAGTAAGCCTGAGCATACCTTGCTTACTGGTTAATCCACACCTGCCATGTATAGTAGATCCTTGACATTCATGGCTGTAGGATGTGAGTTTTGACGATCTGTGAGCAGCTCCAACTGTCTTAAAGAGTAGTTTTTATTATCAAAGTTTGTTAAAGCATGAGTTTTATTCATACTTCTGTGAATGTAGTGAGTGGGAAGAAATTATTTACCTAGTGGGAATAATCATTTCATGATTTAGCCTAATTCATCAACCAGCACGCAAATATCAACAAGGCTTTATTGTTCTCTAACATGTAGATTGTAAAGTATCTCTCATGAAATTATAACTTCTAAAGATTCTATGCTGTAGAGTTTTTTTTCTTGTGTATTTGGGAATTCACAAAGATTTTGGGCTGTATCCTTTGCAAATGACAAGTACCTTGCAATATAGTTATGTATGTATTTATTTTACTTTCTTACTAGACTATGATTCCTTGAGAATAAAGGTGAGCAGATGTCATAATAAATATTTATGAACCAAGAATTCATTAATTATTTTAGATGGCATTTGGTAACCTCTGGTTTAAATGATCTCTGAAGTCCTTTTTAACCCAGTGACTTTATGACAATATTTGAAGTTTAAATAAATAAAAGAGTTTTTGAGGGTTTTTAGGAAGCTCCAAGTAAGAAATTAGCTTATAAACTTGACTTTCGTTGGGAGTCCAAGCTAACTGTCATTGCTGACAGATCTTCTGAGCATAATAGGTAATTGATATAGAAATTTAGTATTGATAAACATTCTGTACTTAACTTTCAGCAAATGCAATCGAAGAGATTGAGATAGTTATAACCCAGATAGGAAGAGGATCAGGGAACCAGGACAACAGAAAAGAATATGACATGGATTGAGAGGGAATATGTAACATGCACTTGGATGCATTTGGCTAAAGGTTTCAGGAGTAGTCTGACAGATTTAATGTTTTAAAAATTGAAAGGCAATGTTGACCCAATTATATCCTCCAGTTCATTAAAATAGATGAAATTCAGTAAAAGAAGTTTTGATTTTCCATCCATAAGGTTTATAAATACTTGTTAGCCTTTCAAAAATGACAGCATTATGTATCTAGTGATTCACATTTCAATTTACCTGACCAATTAGGCTGGAGAACACAAAAACTCCAGAAAAAAAATTCAAGAGTTGAAAAACAATTTCAAATGAAGTTTGTGGTTCTGGAAGGCCCCCGATGGTAATTAAAGTTCGAACTGCCCAATAATAACATCTCAGATACCTGTGAAAAAAGAAGACGTACATTTTGCTTTTTATTATAACATTGAAATGCCACTCTGCTTGGGAGTGCAGATTACTACTAAATTATAACAAATTTCTCCTAATCAATATTTTTTTGCTATAAACAGTATTGACAAATACCATGTGTGCTAATAAAAACCTCTTGATAAACATTGTGAAATGACTAAATAATAAAACCTAAGGATGGGGTTAACTATTTGTTCTACTTATCACTTGCTGTAAAACATATCACCTCAAAATTTAGTGGTAAAAACAACCATTTTATTAGGCTCATAATTTCGTGGGTCAGAAATTTCTGCAAGGCCCAGCAGAGATGGCTCGTCTATGCTTCATGATGACTGGGCCCCCATATGGGGTGACTTGAATGGCTTGAGATACCTGGGAGGACTTGACTGGCGCCAAATATGTTGGGCTTTTGTTCTGGATATTGGCTGGGTTTCTCTGTTCTTCTCCACATTATTTTCTCAGAATGCCCAATGGGGCTTCATTCACATGTCTGGGCCTGGGCTGATATGGTTGAAATAGGGCCTGGCTGGGTATTCCTTTCTTTCCATGAAACCTTTCAACATGACTAGCTTGGGCTTCCTTACAGCATGGCAGTCTCAGAGTAGATGGACTTTTTAAATAGCAGCTGATTTCCTCCAGAGCAATAGCTCCCCAGGCAATAGCTTCAAAGCTTCCTATAACTCTGAAATCTCATAATGTCTTAATCTATTGCCACATTCTATTTGTCAAGCTAGTCACTAAGGACAACCTAGACTGAAGGGAAGGGAAATTTGAATCTGCCTTTTAATAGGAGCAGAAAAAAATTGAGACCATCTTTAAACTACCACACTAGTGATTCGTGGGGAATATTATAGAGATCAAAGATATTTATGTGGATGGCAAAGTCCTTTACAGTTTATATTCAATTGTTTTTACTAATGGAAAGCAGATCAGGTAAATGCCACTCCTTATTTTTTCCACCCACATCCTATTACATTACTGATCAGGTATACACGGCAGAGACAGAGGAGAACTGAATTCCATCTTAATAGGGAAATCACTCTCGGGTGTAATAGGTAATTTATGTATTGAGGAAAACCAAATATATTTAGAACTATATTCAATAAAGATTTTGTACTTAACTTTGAGCAATTGCAAATGGAGAGGCTGCGATTATTATAGCCCAGACATGAAAAGGATAAGGGAACCAGGCTAACAGAAAAGAATATGATATGGATTGAGAGAGAACATGTAACATTCACTTAGATGCATTTAGCTGAAGGTTTTACGAAACCCATAGTGAGGTGGGAATGGAAGTTAGTATTAGGACTCCACTGTGTATGTGTGTGGGGTCCCTAGGTGGTGCAAATGGTTAAATGCTGGACTACTAACCAGAAGGTTGGCATTTCGAATCCACCCAGAGGTGCCTTGGAAGAAAGGCCTGGTGATCTACTTCCAAAAATTTATGTCCTTGACAACCCTATGGAGTGCTGTTCTACTCTGCAACACATGGGGTTGCGATGAGTTAGAATCAACTGGACAGCAACTGGTTTGGTGTTTAGTTTGTGTATGTGTGTAGTAGTTTTTGTGCATGATTAGGTAAACTATTTGGGTATTTTCCATATAATGTTGACCACATAGTTGGAGGTCAGACATTCCCATTGAATCTTTAATAAAATATCCTGTGTATAAAGAATGTCTACAGATATCATTATAGAGAAGCTTTTATTTATTTTGTTGCTGTTGAGAATATACACAGCAAAACATACACCAATTCAACAGTTTCTACATGTACCATTTAGTGACATTGATTACACTCTTTGAGTCGTGTAACCTTTCTTACCCTCCTTTTCTGAGGTGTTCCTCCCCCATTAACACAAACTCACTACCCCCTAAGTTTCCTATCTAATCTTTTGAGTTACTGTTGTCAATTTGATCCCATATAGATAGTTCTTAAAAGAGCGTAATGCCCAAGGCAGACATTTTTTACTAGTTAAGCTAAGCTATTGTTTGGATTTAAGATGACTTCAGGAGATATTTTTGATTTAAGGTTTAAAGATTATCTCAGGGCAATAGTTTCAGGGGTTCATCCAGCCTCCATGACTCTAGAAAGTCTGGAGTCTGTAATAATTTGAAATTCTGTTCTGCATTACCCCTCTTTTGATCAGGATTCATCTAAGGAATCTTTGATCAAAATGTTCAATAATGGTAGCTGGTAGCTGGGCACCATCCAGTTCTTCTGGTCTCATGGCAGAGGAGGCAGTTGTTCATGGAGCCAATTAGCCACAAATTCCATATCCTCCTCCTATTTCTGACTCTCCTTCTTCTTCTTTTGTTCCAGGTGAATAGAGACCAATTGTTGTGCCTTGGATGGCCACTTGCAAGCTTTTAAGATCCCAGGCTCTACACATTGTACTAGGAGGTAGAACAGAAGCACTAAACATGTTATTAGGTCAGTTAACTGGTATGTCCCACAAAATCATGATCCTAAACCTCCAACCAAGAAACCAAATCCCATGAGGTTCTTGGTTGTACACAACCAGCCTTAGCAGCTACTCTTTTTTTGTGTCATTATTGTAAATATATCTATCACACAACTTTTGCCAATTCAACTTTTTACAAGTGTACAACTTATTGATAGCAATTACAATAATTGGCTGTGCAACCCTAGCCTTAATCAATGAGATATTTCCATCACTGTTAACCCCCTCCCCCTCTTCCTACCATTCTGGTAACCACTAATAAAATTTGTTCTCTATATTTGCCTTTTCTTGTCTTTTTATATAAGTGAGACTATACTTATATGGAAGTACGTGAGTATATATTTGACTCAGCATAATGTCTTCCAGCTCCATCCATAGTGTAGCATGTATCAAGACTTCATTTCTCCCAGTGGCTGAACAGTATTCCATTGCATGTATGTACCACAGTTTGTTTATCCATTCATCTGTTGATGGTAATTTAGGTTGTTTCCACCTTTTGGCTATTATGAATAGTGCTGAAATGAACACTGGTGTATAAGTCTCTCTTTGAGTCTCTTCTTTCAAGTCTTTTGGGTGTATACCTAGGAGTGGAATTCTGGGTCATATGATAGTTCCGTTTTTAGTTTTTTTGAGGAACTGCCACACTGTTTTCTAGAACAGCTGTACCATTTTGCATTCCACCAGCAACTGATAAGCGTTCCAATTTCCCCACATCCTTGCCAACATTTCTTTTTTCTTTTTTTTAAATATTAGCCATCCTAGTTGGAGTGAAATGGTATCTCATTGTGCTTTTGATTTGCAACTTTCTGATGGTTAATAACACTGAGTATCTTTTCATGTGGTTGGTGGCCATTTGAATGTCCTCTTGGTGAAATGTCTATTCAAGTCTTTTGCCCATTTTATGACTGAGTGATTTGTCCTTTTGTTGGTAAGTTGTCAAAGTTTTGTATATATTTTGGTTATTAGATTTTTGTTGGATGTATAGTTTTCAAAGATATTCTCCCAGTCAATAGCTTGTCTTTTCACTTTTTTTGTAAAGTCTTTTTTTTTTTTAAATTAAATTAAATTCTCATACAAAAATTTATACACATATTGTTATGTGATCCTAGTTGCAATCCCTATAATGTGACAGCACACTCCCCCTTCCCAACCCATGTCTCCCGTGTCCATTCAACCAGCTCCTATCCCTTTCTGCCTTCTCATCACACCTCCAGACAGGAGCTGCCCATTTAGTCTCATGTATTTACTTGAACTAAGAAGCACACTCTTCACAAGTTTTATTTTATGTTTTATAGTCCAGTCTAATCTTTGTCTGAAGAGTTGACTTCCAAGAAAACTAATGGTTTTAGTTCTGGGTTAACAGAGAGTCCGGAGGCCATGTCTTCTGGGGCTCTTCTAGTCTCAGACCATTAAGTCTGGTCTTTTTATGTGAATTTGAGTTCTGCACCCTACTTGTCTCCTGCTCCGTCAGGGACTCTCTGTTGTGTTCCTTGTCAGGGTGGTCACTGGTGGTAGCCAGCCACTATCTTGTTCTTCTGGTCTCAGACTGATGGAGTCTCTGTTTTATGTGGCCCTTTTGTCTCTTGGGCTAACATTTTCCTTGTGTCTTTGATGTTCTTCATTTCCTTTGCTCCTGATGGGTTGCGACCAATGGAAGCATGTTAGATGGCTACTCACAAGCTTTTAAGAACCCAGACACCACTCAACCAAAGTGGGATGCAGAACATTTTCTTAATAAACTTTTTTATGTCAATTGACCTAGATGTCCCCTGACACCGTGGTCCCCAATTACTCTGTCTCTCAAAGTGTTTGGTTGTGTCAGGAAACTTCTTAGCTTTTGGTTTAGTCCAGTTGTGCTGACTTCCCCTGTATTGTATGTTGTCCTTCCCTTCCCTTAAAGACAATTGTTGTCTACTATCTAGTTAGTGGTAAAGTCTTTTGATGAATGAAAGTTTTTAATTTTTATGAGATTCCAGGTATTTATTTTGTCTTTTGTTTTTTGTGCTTTTGTTATTATATTAGATAATCCGTTTGTTAAAAACTAGACCTGGCAGCCTTGCCTCTGCTTTTTCTTCTAAGAATTTTATGATTTTAGTTTGCACATTTTGATACTTAATCCATTTTGAATTTGTTTTTTTGTATAGTGTGAGGCATGGTTCCTGTTTCATTTTTCTGCATGCTTAAGTCTAATTTTCCCAGCACCATTTATTGAAAAGACTCTTCTTTCCCCATCAAAGGGACTTAGCACCCTTGTCAAAAATCAGTTGACCATAGATATGTGGGTTTATTTCTGAACTCTCAATTCTAATCCATTGGTCTGTTGTTGTACCAGTAGCAAGCTGTTTTGATTACTATAGCTGTATGGTATGTTTTAAAATCAGGAAGAGTGAATCCTCTTACTTTGTTCTTCTCTTTCAACATTGCTTTAGTTCTTTGGGGCCTTATAGAGAGGCTTTCAGACTTGGTGGGTCCCAATTAGTTGGTCTACTATCCAGAGAGAGCATAGAAGAGC